GGGAATTCACTGGGAATGCTGTTGGTTCAGGAACTAAATCCTCTCCCTTGTCCCTCCCGGTGACTTGAGTCACAATCACAAAAATCAAACACCTTCATCTGAAGGTTTTTTTCTTATTCAGACCCTCATTTCTGTCCCCCCACACACTCCAGCAGCCATCCCTGTCCCCAGCCTCCTTTGGTTCTCAGGAGTTCCCAAAACTAACCCCCCCCAGCTTTTCAAGGAGGTGGGAACAATTTCCTCCTGCTGCCCAGCCTGGGAAACGATCAAAACCCAATCAAACAGGTTGGGGAATCCCAAAGGAAGGAAATGCTGGAGGATAACAAATCTGGAGTTAATTTTGCTGATGGGGGGGGTTGAAGCAAAGCTTTTTCCCAGGGGCTGCAACACCTCTGTTCCCATTCCAGTGTGAAATGGCTTTTCCACGGGTCAAACCAGCTGCTGATGAGACAGCGTTCAGTGAGGCCTTGCTGAAGAGAAACCAAGATCTTGCTCCCACAGCTGCTGAACAGGTTTTGTGCCCCCCCCAAACTGCCTTCCCTCCTTTGTCTGGATGTTCCCGTGATGGGTGGAATTTCTTGGGACTCTTTTTGACTTTTAAACCTGATCATTTCTCTTGCATTGATTGCCCTGTGTGGGGGGTCAGGTTATTTCGGGTCCCAGCTGGTAACACTTCTCCTCTTGTGGTTCTTTTCCAGGCTTCCATTCTTTCCCTGGTGACCAAAATTAACAACGTGATTGACAATTTGATTGTAGCACCAGGAACGTTTGAAGTGGTGAGTCCAGAAGGGGTGAACTTGGAGGAGAAACCCTTTGGAGGGGAACCCCCTTGGAGGGGAACCTCCCTGGGAAGATGCTTTGGCACCAGGGATTCTGAGGCTCCAGCCACCACCCCTGGCTGCCCAGTGGATTGAGGATTCCCAGGAATGCAGCAGAGGGATTCAGTTCCCTCCTTCTCACTCTCCTCTTCCACAGCAAATCGAGGAGGTTCGGCAGGTGGGCTCCTACAAGAAGGGCACCATGACCACAGGGCACAACGTGGCAGATCTGGTGGTGATTCTGAAGATCTTACCCACCTGTGAGTTACCAAATGCTGCCCCCCACGGCCCCATCCCCCCTCTGACCCTGGCCCCATCTCCCCCCACCCACCTCTGACCTCTCCCACTTCTCCCCAGTGGAAGCTGTGGCAGGCTTGGGGAAAAAAGTGGTGGAAAGCCTGCGGGCACAGGACCCCAGCGAAGGTGGGACACTCTCTGGATGGGCTCCAGAAGATCCGTGGGTGTTTCCAGGGGCTGCTGAGGGTCTCCCAGCCCCTCCATGAGGAATCCTTCTCCCTCCTCCCCAGTGCTGACCATGCTGACCAACGAGACTGGTTTTGAGATCAGCTCGGCTGATGCCACCGTGAAGATCCTCATCACCACGGTGCCTCCCAACCTCCGCAAGCTGGATCCCGAGCTCCACCGTAAGGACTCAGCTCCCTCTGGGAATAACCAGCTCCTTCCCCTTGGCCCAAACCTCCACAGCTTTTGGTTTTCAACCCAGACTTCTCTGTTCCTTCTTCCAGTGGACATCAAGGTGCTGCAGAGCGCCCTGGCCGCCATCAGGCACGCCCGCTGGTTCGAGGAGAACGCGTCGCAGTCCACGTGAGTTGGGCCTTTAGGTTGGAATCCTCTCCCCAGGGAACAGCTGGAAGGTGGGTGATGCCCTTTGGAACCCTCCTCCTGCTGTCTTCTCCAGGGTGAAGGTGTTAATCCGGCTCTTGAAGGATCTGAGGATTCGATTCCCAGGCTTTGAGCCCCTCACGCCCTGGATCCTGGACCTGCTGGTGAGGACCTCAGGGAGGACAGGGATGGCAGGAGCCAGCTGTGCTGCAGCCCACGTTGCTGGGCTCCAGGAGGAAGCAGCTCCTTGTAGCTCCCACAGCAGGATTTGGGAATGTTACAATTCCCTTGTGGAAGCTGCGTTTTTGTCCTCACTCCTCCTTCCCTCCCCCCTCAGGGGCACTACGCCGTGATGAACAACCCCACCCGGCAGCCCCTGGCGCTCAACATCGCCTACAGGTCTGGTCCCTGGGCTTCACTCCCAGCCATTCCCACCTGCTTCATTCCCACCTGCTTCATTCCCAGGCATTCCCACCTGTTTCATTCCCACCTGCTTCATTCCCAGCCATTCCCACCTGCTTCCCTCCCAGCCATTCCCACCTGCTTCACTCCCACCTGCTTCATTCCCAGCCATTCCCACCTGCTTCACTCCCACCTGCTTCATTCCCAGGCATTCCCACCTGCTTCATTCCCAGCCATTCCCATCTGCTTCATTCCCACCTGCTTCACCCCTAGGAATTCCCATTCCCATCTCAGCTTTAAACATCCTAAGAGCATCCCAAAGGGACCCCAAGGCAGCAGACTTGGGGTGCTGAGGCACTTCTTGGGTTGGTTTTTCCCTCCTGGGACTGTGAATTCCTAACTCCAGCTGATCCCACAGGCGCTGCCTTCAGATCCTGGCTGCTGGGCTGTTCCTGCCCGGATCCGTCGGGATCACGGATCCCTGCGAGAGCGGCAACTTCCGCGTCCACACGGTGATGACCCTGGAGCAGCAGGTGAGCCCGGGAACTGCCCTGGGATGGGGGTGGGAAAACCAGGACTCTCCCCACCCCCAGGGCACTGACCTGTCCCATCCCACAGGACATGGTGTGTTACACTGCCCAGACCCTCGTCCGGATCCTCTCCCATGGAGGCTACAGGAAAATCCTTGGCCAGGAGGGTGATGCCAGTTGTAAGTGGGCACAAGACCAGGATCCTGCTCCACTCAGGCTTGGTGGGAAGAGGGGAGGGTTTTCCGTGTTGCTGGAAGGAATTCCAGGCTCCAAGGGATGATTCCTTGGGGAGGTGGAACTGGAGAGCAGGGTCCTTGGCCAGGAGGGTGATGCCAGTTGTAGGGCACAAGACCAGGATCCTGCTGCACTCAGGCTTGGTGGGAAGAGGGGATGGTTTTCCGTGTTGCTGGAGGGAATTCCAGGCTCCAAGGGATGATTCCTTGGGGAGGTGGTGCTGGAGAGCAGGGGGTTTGTCCTCTCTGCCCACGCTCACCCCCAGTCCCTGGCTTTGCAGACCTGGCTTCCGAGATGTCCACGTGGGATGGGGTGATAGTGACGCCTTCCGAGAAGGCTTATGAGAAGCCTCCAGAGAAGAAAGAAGGAGAAGAGGAGGAAGAGAATCAAGAAGAACCTGCTACGGGCGAGGAGGAGGAAAGCATGGAGACCCAGGAGTGACAGGAGAGCTGGTCCTGCTGCCCACAGCGCTCGGGCTGCCCCTGTGTCTCCCCCACCCCTGGGTGCTGCTAGTGTGGAGACCCCAGCAGAGACCTGAGCAGACCCTCCCCCCCAGCCCTGCCCCTTTGCCTGTGTTTTTATAAAGTTGCACATTAAATTGTTCCCCAATTTTCCAGCGTGTTGTCCCCTTTTGTTCTGGGTGGGGGCAGCAGGTTCAGACCCCCCAACCCCTGAGCCCAGGGACACTTTTATTTTTGCTTCCTACAACTCTGGAAACAGGGTTTGGGGACAAACCCCCCCCCCACACCCCCCTCAGCCACTGAAGATTCCTTGTCCAGGGAATGCTGCTACATCCAGGGATCCCTGTTCCCTCCGTGTCCTTATGGGGACACCCCCAGCCCCCCTGGGGGTGTGAGGTGGGTTCGGGGGGGTCCTCACTTGCCCGGCAGGCCCTGGGGGTAGCCACCAGCTGCCTCCAACATGGCTTTCCTCCTCACTGTCTCCTTGGCCACACTGTGGTTCAGCCTCCGCAGCCGTTCCTGGGTGGTGGGAGGGAATGAGGATGAGGAGTGGGATCCCAATCCCCAAATCCCACCCCCATAACTCCAGGGGTCCCCCCAGGCTAACCTGGGCGTTCTGCAGGATGTTATTGACCAGCACGACCCTGCGTCGGGCGTTCAGCAGCTTCTTCACGTAGGGGTCGAGGTCCAGAGCCACCTTCTGGTCCTCATTGATGCGACACAGCTCTGGGGAGAGGGGGCAGGGGGTGGGAGGGGGTCCTGGGGGGCTTGCAGACCCCCCTCCCCCACTTACAAAGCAAGCCCCCCGTGCCTCACCTGTGGCCAGGCTGTCGCTGTGGTTCCCCAGCGCCAC